GAGAGAGAGAGAGAGAGAGAGAGAGAGAGAGAGAGAGAGAGAGAGAGAGGGAGGGGAAAAAGAGACAGAGACAGACAGAGACAAGAGAGAGACAGAGAGACACAGACAGACAGACAGACAGACAGACAGACAGACAGAGAAATGAAAAGCTCCACGATTTTCTAGGTTCATTCAATCTAAAGAAGTGCCTGTAGCAGAGACATCAAAGGCTCTGATCAGTAGACACCTATTAGGCTCTCAGTGATACCCAGGTCTCCTTACTTGTTCCAGGGAACACATTATTATCTCAGATAACAAAGGTTGGCTTCTCATGTCAGACAGGAAATGTTACACTTCACTGATGGGCAGGGCTCTGACATACAGAGGGAAGAGCTTCTCTGGTCTTTATTCTGTATGCTGTGTTCTATGGCTTGTGTGCACATGCTCAGTGATAATTTTAGGAGGGGATCCGATATGCTATTGATGTGAGGTTCCTGGGCCAGTGGCAATCCATATTGCTTATCACTAATTCATGGTGATGTAAGTGCATGGACTGAGAGTATGTGCTCAGGACCATTTATAGCAGTTTTTTCAAAATGCCCAGTTGACAATGGTCTACTGTATGCCTTTTTCCCTTCTGTATTTTACGTCTGTGTTTTACAGAAAGCATCAGCCTGTGATATTTAGAAATCCAACTTTAAAACCGAAAGAAAGTGGCCCTCCACCATCGTTTATAAGGTTCAGCAAACACCATCCAGCTAAGTTAGTCAACCAGGACTCCAGCTGCTGGTGACCAGATTTCCAGCTGCCCTTCAGGGAACAATGTTCTCTGCTTATAAACCTTTCTGAGCTTCCTAGTGCCATGGCTGTAAACAAAGGTGAGTTCATGAAAGACACAGGTGGCTGCCCATGTCTTATTGCTTGCTGATCACCCATAACATTTTATGAGTGGGCTTCCATGGTCTCGTGGGTACCACACAATAAAGGCTCTTGTCACCATGCCTAGTTAAGAAACTGCATGGCCCAGCTTCATACCCCCCAACTCTTCACTCCTAGCTAAGAAAATATTGACAGGTGCTGAGTCATTCTATTGAAAACCACTTAGCCTAGAAGTATAGGCCCCAAAACATACTTAACACACCCAGCTCACAAAGGTTAAACAGCATAAGTGGGTAGCATTGCAGGAGATTGACACTAAGAAAAACGGTGGCCTCTGACACAGAGAGGAGGAAGTATAGCTGACTGATTATCACCCATGCCACGTCTCACAGAACTGGCCTTAACTGAGCAAAGCACGCTTGATATGCCTAGCAGTTGTGTGCTGGCCTTCTCAACCACACTTAATCCATGTAACATAATAGTATCATTGTAATGCCACCTGGAAGTTGCCAATTTTTCTACTTCCTAAGAAATGCTGACCAGTTCCCATATTTCATTTCAGTTACTCTCACAGCATCCTAGTAAGGCAACCCAGTTCCAGTTCACAAGTAAGATCCAAAAGGTCTATCTGGGGCCATGCAGAAGACAATGCACATTTAAATCACAGATTTAATATTAGCCTGGAAGTAAGGAAGATGGGGCAATGTACACCATCCTGAGGGGGTGTGACAAAATAGAGTTGAGCATCTTTGCCTCTCAAGTCCCTTGAGATGGAATGAGAGCCTGGAGGCAGGATGGGAAGTCTGGGCTTGATCAAACAGTGGGATGAGGTGTTTGCCTCTGATGGCCCAAGGTGTCTTCTTGCTTCTTCCGTAGTGGTGTCTGTTCCCCCTGCTGGTTAGTGTTCCATGTTCCTTAGCCTCTATCATAACCAGATTCTAAGATATGATCTCAGCAACTTGCTCCTGTGTCTAAATAACCATGTCTTTTCTACCAGGGTTTCTAGGATTTGGGCTTCATTTGTTGTTGTTACTGCTGCTGCTGCTGTTGTTGTTGTTTTATGAAAGTCTTATTGTAACTTGATATGCCATGCTTGGTTGATATCCTATAAAGGCCTGCTTTTTTCTGAAGAAAAGCAAAGGCAGAATGGATCTGGGGGTAGAGGGGAGGGAAAGGAGAGACTAGGAAGAAAAGAGAAAGGGGAAACAATGGTCAGGATGGAATATTATGAAAGAAGAAGAATTTTAAAAAAGAAAAAAAGTAAAAACTTTACTTTCCATTAGGGGCATAAGCAGGCAATGGGGTTTGGGCAGGGCACTAAGGAGAATGAGTAGTGTCACCAGTTCTTGAGGTTCTTGAAATGCTACATTGAGTACCATCTGTACTTAGTGTGCTTACTACATGGTATGAGCTATGGTAAGAGTTCTACATTTACTGTCACCAGGGAGGTTTTACCGAGCAACTGATGGGAACAGAGGCAGAAACCCACAGTCAAACATTAGGTTGGGCTTGAGGAATCCTGAGGAAGAGGGAAAGGAAGAATTGTAGGAGCCAGAGGCATCAAGGATAATACACACACACACACACACACACACACACACACACACACACACACCAAACCCACAGAATCAACTATTCTGGGCCCATAGGAGCTCCCAGTGACTGAATCACCAACCAGGGAGCCTACATGGAACCTATGTAGACCTTCTGCACATATGTTACAGTTGTGTTTCTTGGTCTTCTTGTGGACTCCTAACAATGGGAGCAGGAGCTGTCTCTGACTCTGTTGCCTGCCTTTTGGTCCCTTTCCTCCTACTGGGATGCCTCAATTGGAGAGGATGCACCTAATCTTACTGTAACTTGATATGCTATGTTTGGTTTATATCCATAGGCAGTATGCCCTTTTCTATAGAGAATGAAGAAGGACTGGATGGGGGGAGGACAACACTGCGGGGAAAGGAGGGAGTCAACAACTATGTAAAAAAGGTAATTAATTAATTAATTTAGAAAAGAATTCTACATTTACTAGCTATTTGGTTTTCTAATAATCCTGTTAGGAGATTATTAATCTCGTTATGTACCAGTGGAAGTAAAGGCATAAGAAATTAAAGGCACTATTTTAAGATCACATATCAACCAGCAGGTCCCTTAACCTCTAGTCAACATGGCAGACCAACATAGATGACACAGAAAATTACAAACGGTCCTGAAGAAAAAATAGTGAAGCCTATCACTCATGGGAAGTAGTTAATTAGCAGACACCTTATTGGAGTCAGTATTCCATTTTTCATGTGGCATGACTTACTCATAGCTGACCCTGAAATGCCAATTGGTAGCTGTCTTAAACATTCAGTTTTCTTTGCCTTTCGACTGCTGGAAATATCTGTTTCCACAGTGCTTGGTCTTGGACCTAAACTCAGTGTGTCTCCCAATCAGAGACATTGTCTTCATGCCTGTATGAGGTTCTGAGGTGAGCTGTCTCCACTGAGACAGTAGAGGTAAAACACAATTGCTCTTCCCACCAAAAGGTATTAACTGTGACCTGAAGAGAAAGATGCTAAGGAGAATACCTTTAAGTACCTATAAGCAACTGAGTAAATCCCCAAAGTTTTGAAGCAACATAACCCCACAGCTTGTTACCTCTTGCAAAGGTCAACAAATGTCATCCAAAGATTTGAATAAAAGCATCTAAAAATCAATACTGGAATACAGAGGAGAATGCATGTTAAAGGGACATTTGCTGTGTACTATATGCCTACTGAGCTGCATACGTGAGACTAGTTCTTTATGTTCATCAGTCTTTGTCAGTCCTGTCTGTCCTGCCTGGTTTCTGTCCTTCAGCATCTTTCATTGTTCCAGATGTAACAGTATGATCAGGACTCATCTGTCCCCTGAAATGAACTATAGCACTCATGGACTCCTTTTCACTCTACCCTAAGAAAATCTTTAGTACAAATAAGAATCCATCACTGCTGATATTGGAAGAAATACCATTTAACATTTTGACTCTAAGGTTGAGATTTATTGGAAATTCTGAAAGCTAGGAAAGAAGCTTGTCTAGGTTCCATTCCCATCAGAGTCTAGAATTCCTCCAAACATCACCTGTCCTCACACCTATGATACTGTCCTGTCTTTGTACCCAAAGCCCACATTTGCCTGAATAACACATTGAGCCAGGAAATCCACAAGTTGTATCATACCTTGGGCCTGCTGGACCTGTCTCGTCTTCTGGCTCTTCCACAACAGCTAGCTCTGCAGGAAGGAAAGCATCTTTGTTGACACTATTCACCCAGCTCTCCTTTGCCCTCATCGCCATGTCCTTATTCTGCTCAGCTGAAACAGAAAACAGTAAAGATAGAAAGTTTATCTCTCTCACTGCTACATCTATACCTTTCTCGTTGGCTCCTATCAATAAGGGCTCAAATCTGAACCTTGGGCCTCCCAACTGCCAAGATGGCCACTGGGTCTAAGGACCAAAATTATATCTGTGAAAGAAGTTAGTATATTCCCCTGATTTCATAGCCCTGCTTCTCAGTCTCCTGAAAGGACAGGAATGCCTTTAAAGGTACAGGTACCCTAGAGACCACTGAAGCAAACTGCCTTTAGAATTTTCCTTTAATATGATCTGAATTGGAGCCAAGGCTGGATATTCTTAGCCAAGAGATTCTCAGAGTGGGATCCTTATCAAGCATTTACTCGGTCCTTATAACTGGCTAAATACAATGTTTGACTCTGCGGTACAAAGGTAAACAAATGATCCTAATTTAAGATGTTCCTCTCCAGTGCCTCTCCAACTCTGTAAACCTGTCTACAAATCCAAATTCTAAGTTCTTCACTACATACTTCTTGAGTGTCATCACCCCCATAAAACCTCTGTGTCATGTCTTCAGGATCAGTCTAGCATTTTTGATTGCAAATGGAATCACAGTACTAGCCAATATCCCCAAAGATTTCTTATGACCCAAATATGCTTGAAAACCAAGAGAGCTGCAGGCAGTGCACTTTACATGGACAGAGGTCAAAACTTACCTGTAATAAGTGGAACACAGCCCAGCCATTTAGCAAGAGAATGACTTTTGGCAAGTTGATCCTAGTTGCTCAATAATGTTTATAGGAAAATCATACATATCTCACAAAATTGCTTCTACAGTTAAAAATAGATAGTTAACATTCATTATATATTAAACGCTTTAAAGATAGTATTTTTTTCTTTGTCTATAAGATAGACCTAGAGGTTTACAATGATTAATCTTGAGTTAAGTACAAACTACCTAGATAGAAATTTGTAAACACACAGGCAAAATGAAGTGGTGAAATAAAAGGAATTCTAAATAAACTCTTATAGTCCTTTAAGTGATGTGTTTGGCTGATTAGAGAAGAATTACGTTCCAGATCATTGAGTATGAAATATGATTTCACACACACACATGTGCATGCATACACTCACAATGACACATATACACACACTCATGTGCACACACACACACACACACACACACACAAAGCCAAAGAAAGGCATGAACATTTCTCATAATCCCAAAGGCTACTCAAACAGTTGTCTTCCTCTACAGCCAGGCACTTTGCCCTGCCCTCATCCACCCAAATTTAAGGCAAAAGGATATTGACTGAGAAGGCCATACAGTATGCAAATCATAACCACAATCGATTTCCTTCAGCAGATCTCAGTGAAGAGTCTTACACCTTTCCCCACCCTCCTTCCTACACAAATGGCAGCTGTGACCTCACCTGCCGCTGGGAGCCTCTTCCTTCTCATGGATGCTCTGATGATGTCAGCACCATGGATTTTGTCCCTGTGTCTTTTTGCTTTAGCTTCATAAAACCATTGGCCACTCATATTCTTTAGTTGTTGGTCATCCTTAATTTTTTCAGGCAAATGTCTGCAAAGGGAAAAGAACTTTACTTGTCTGAGAACACACAGTAAATAAACGAATTCACTGTGATACTACATGAAGAAATTTGTAAATACACAGGCAAAATGAAGCTCTTTCTAATTTATGTGCCCAAAACTTCCAAGATGACTTACAAATGTTCTACTTTGACTAAAAATCTAATCAGAGATGTCAAGCATGGTGTTTTCAAAAAAGATTTTATTGTTATATATATGAATGTTTGCCTGTAAGTAAATGCACAGTGGACATGTATTGCCCACAGACACTAGAAGAGGATATCAGGTCCCCGTAGAACTGGAGTTGCAGAGATTTGTGAGTTGTGGGTGCTGGGATTTGAACCCAAGTCCTCTGCAAGAGCAGCAGGTGCTCTTAACTGCTCTGTCTGACATTTCTCAAGACTGGAACCACTTCTTAGTTGCAGTCTTCCTATTCAAATGGGCACAATTGACAGGAATGATGGAGAAAGTGTCCCTGGCCATTTTCCTCACCTGTAAAATGGAGGCCCATCTCATAGAGTTTCCCTGAGAATTGTGTTAAAACACAACCCATCTCTGCACATGCCAAGGGCCTATTATGCATTTGTTGGACAATGAGTGTGTGACAAGGAGTTCCCTGGCCCTTCCCTTCTCAGTGAAATGAGTTTCTCAGAGACTATCCTAGAAGCCTGGAAGGGGAGGGGGCATGATGTTCTGTGTGCTGAAGCACACTAAACTGAGGAGGTACAGGCAAGTCTCATTAGTACAGAGGTTGCTTTTAAAGGTACCATAATCATTCATGCTCACCAAACAACTGAAACCTAAATAACAAACTAACTGTTGCTGTCCTAAAGCATCCTAATTTCTATTAGTTGTGGAAAATGAGTGTTCTAATCAACGAGTCTTTTAACCTTCACATTCTTCTACTCAATAAAATGAGAATTCCAAATCTAGTTCTTTGTCCTCTTAGAGATATACTCAGTAAAATCCAGTAAAAAGCCCTTGGGAAACTTAGAACTCTTGAAAGACAATGTGTTGCACAAATCCAAGTGGTTCAATCAAGCTTAGATGCTCCTTGTCTATGAGCAAGTCTATCTTAGCTGGGTAACATGAATGAGGTTTGTAATGGCTAGACTGGGGATGAAAACTGCACATAGGCACAAGTGGAAATGGGGAAGAAACTGGAGGGGTGGTTATCCTGGCCTTTCTTAAGTATGCTTCAAGTAAGAGGTTCTTGTCTACCAAATATGAACTCTCCTCTAGAATTGCCTCTCCCGATCACCTAGGAAGAAGTAATTCTGCTCCAAGAGTACTCATCAATTGCTTTGCCATACATTGTCACAACAGCCTATCTACAAATCCTGATGGGGACAGCAGCACTAGTTCCCAGGCCTGAGTCACCAAAGGATCAAGGGCTTCTGATAGTTGCTCACTGCCTAAGGCTTTTGACCAAGTAGGCAGTCCCTGCTGGGCTGCTGGCGGTAGTAGTTCTTAATTTTTCTCCTTCTAACAGGACCATGATTCTGTCCAATTACAGAAGGAAAAAAATCTACCTCTCCTTGTTTAGACTGGGTTCTTGGAAGGAGGGCCTTCATTCCATATATATTTGTCTAATGCCTTAAAAACAATGTGCTTGCAGAGGGCAGGGATGCCACATGACTCCACTGACCTCCTGGCTTCAGACTGACTTTTTAGGTTTATTTCCCAGAAGACACTCCCAAGCTCCAGTTGCCAGAACATTCAACTTATTGTTGTTACTGACACTGCTCTTCTGTTATCTGTAGGTATTAGTGATAGAAACATCTAGGCTGAAAGACTATGGAGGCTCTCCCAAACAGGGCCAAAGCCTAGTTTGTATCTATCTAAACATGACAATGGACAGGGTAGAGAACCATTCTACATTTCAGTGTCCTTGCTTGTAAAGATGGGGAGGATAAGACCTGCTCTTGAAGACTTTTGAGATAATTCATTGACACACTTGCCTGAATGTACTTAGTAGTACCCAGCTCTTGGAAAGAGGCCGATGACCTCTGGATGTCTTTGCATGGCCTCTTTGTCCAGTACATTCCTCCTGCTGCTGCTTCTGCAGACCCAGCCTGAGCACCACAAAGACACACTGCCCCTTCCCTTGTTCCCACAATACCTCCCTTCTGCATTTACACAGTACTCCTAGGTTCTGTTTATACATCTCTTTTGTCCAGTCATCTGTGGAGGCTACAAACTCCTTAAAGACAAGGCTTGCATTCTGATCATCATTTATGGTCCCACCATGAAGCACAGACACTACACAAGGTTGACACCCAGTAACTGTTTGCTGAGTAAGTCATTGAACAGTTAAGTGCTCAACAGCCTCGATGGTCTGAATAAGAAAAGATATAAATGAAGATCCCATCACTACCAAGTTCCAGGTGACCAGAGGCCACCATAGTGTCAGGGTTTCTGATGAGGTAGAACTACTCATCTCTCCTCAGAACAGGAAAAAAACCACGCCATGACATATGGTAACCTGTTGGTGTACCACAAACCCTCACGGCAGCAACTCCCAGTTTCTCTTCATGAGATTGTTTTTGCTAACCAAAAAGTACTTTGCAATAGAGTCTTTGGAGGTCTCTGCAGCCTTGGTCTTCTCTCATCTTAATAAGCATCTGCAAGGCCCCAGTGTATGCACAAATGGCACAGAGGCTACGTGAGTCATGCCCTCAGAGACGCATGGCCCAAGAAGTGGTTAGTCAGCATTGTGGTGAGGACAGGGTTGCTGGGTCTTTTGTTTGAAAATGGCAAAAGAATGAGAATTCTTTCAAATTTACTGAGGGCTGCTTTTGTACTTTCTAAGATGATTGCTGCTGGTGGTTTTAATAGTCTCTGTATTTTTCTTCTATCTTGGTCACATGTAATATTCTGAAGATGACTCCCTATGTGTAATATCAGAACTAAGCTCATAAAGATTTCAGTCATTTGAATAACTCCACTGTGATAGTACCAACATCTTCTCTTCTAATAGCTCTGTTATTTTCCCTTTCTTTTGAGCTATAATTGAGTGAGCCATATTAGCCCCGGATTTTCTAATTGGTTCCATCTAGCTGAGCCAGGAAAGGGTAGATTTCTTGGGACTAACACTGCTTCTGCTCACCACCCTCTCTATAATGCACATTAGCATAAAGAAGATGCCCACTGGTTGGCAGGTGGGCAGGAGAACATTGCTCAGCCCAGAAAGGCCAGTGTCCTGTCAGCCTTTCAGAGCAAGCACCTAGTTGGTTTTGTCAGCTGTAAAGTACTTTGCAATAGAATCTTTGGAGGTCTTTGCAACCTTGGTCTCATCTCAATAAGCGGCTGCAAGGCCCTGGTGCACACACAAACAGCACAGGCTATGTGAGCCACTCCCATGCACAGGCCTCCATGCTCCCATTAACTTCCGCACAGTCTGCTTGAACAAGCATGTCATTTCATCTCTCTCTTTCTGCCTCTCAAAACCGCCTCCAATATATTCTGGGAAAGATGATAAGATTCTGTGACTTCAAAATGACCTCGTTTTCTAAATGAGACGATTCAAGTCCAGAGAAGTTAGAAGTCTTGTCCAAGGTAGCACAGGGCTAGGCCCATAAGTTAGCTTCCCTCTCGCCTCTTCTGCATTGCCTAGGAGAGCCTAACAAGATTTTGGATTCTAAGGTAGTTGTCACACTTTATTCTTTCTGCCAAGGGACTCACACATTGATGGAGAGTCTGGAAATCAACAGACCTAGAAAGAAAGTGAATTGAAATGTCCCTTAAAATGATAAGAAATACATTTTTGGGAATGTGGGCACACCACAGAGCCCCACAATCTGCTGAGATTCAGCACTGAGTGGGAAAGCACATGGGCTTTACTGAGGATCAGCAAGGCTGTCATCTTGCAGGCTGCTTACTCTCTTCCACTCTATTTTCCCATCTGCTGAAGGGGATTGGACCACATCATGCTGAGAACAAAAAAGAAATGCCTGTGAGACTCCCTGAATGCTGCAACCCCCAGGATTTTGCTTTTATGGAAAACACCACCAGAAGTCCTGGAAGCTAATTCTTCAATGAAAACTGTCTTTACTTAAGAAGAAGTGACATCCTAAAGAAGCAGCTGAGAATCATAAGATGTGGTGGCGGTTGAGATGGAATCTACTGAAAAAAAAAAAAAGCCCATCTCTGTAGATGTGGTTATATGCATATGGGGGTCAGGACGTGGTGCTGGTGTGGTGTTCAGACAGATATGTGCAGCAATTTCCTGCTGGCAGAGTGACGCAAAGCACAGGAAACGCCACCTCGGCAGTGTGTCATTTTCAAACCATAAAAGTCTAAAATTACACGTGTGTGTGTATAGTAATGTTCCCCTCAAGGGTAGAAGAGTCAGACAGAGGGGTGGGGTGGAAGACAAAAACATCTATCTTGATGACTGCTTCTCTGTTAACCTATCTCCACTCATCAGAAGTTAGGGACACAAGATGACAGTAACTTGAGCCCAATGCTTATGACTGAAGTAAAAATAGCACAGAAGACAGACGTGCATCAAGGATAATCTGGAGCTGTTGCTTTCCATGTGCACCCCAGAGACCTTACGCGGATATTCTCCTGGGACCAGGTCCATATTGTACCACTAACAGCTTAGGTGGCTTAGGAACTAGACACGTCTCCTACAGGATACTCATTTTATCATCCATTAAATCAGCATGGAAGGCAACATATGACCTATGTCATCCCCAAAGTATCTTACATGGATTTGGATATGAACACTTCAAAGCAGTAGATATATAAAAAGTGGCAAACCAGCTTCAATAAGAATATAAGCCTTGTCTCCAGCCCTACTGACAAGGATTCCGAATCAGTGCCTGGCCTTGTAGATAACAGTGAAAGAGCCCTCTACTGACATCCTCATGCCTTTAGGATGGCTGTATTCCCAATGCCATAAAGAAGTAACATATGAAAGCCATTCACAACTGGAATCTCAGCACATAAGGAGCTGAGACGAAAGGAACACCCCGATTTGACTACACCACTATTGGGCTACACGGTGAGGAATGGGGAGGGGCTAGAGAGATGGCTCAGTGAGAAAACTGCTTTCCACACAAGTATGGGTGTCTGGCCTAAATCCTCAGAACCAACATAAAGCTGGTTACAGAAGTACAGTCTGTAAGTCTTAACATATATGCAAGTGGAGGGCCAGTACCCAAGGGGTTTCTCTGACCTTTACATGTATATCATCATACATGTGCACACGTGCATGCACACACACCTTACATACTTCCAGAATACATATTAATGGCAGGCTTACTTTTCTAATGATGCTACCTATAATTAACACATTACTGTTGTCTCTTAGCAAGAAGGAGAACTGAAGCTGTAAAATCATGTTAGGAGAACAAAATTTAAAATTTAAAATTTCCAATCAATAATCCTTTAAATGGAGGATTTAAATAAAGGCCATGGATGGTAAGCTCCTTAAGAAATGTGTCTTAAGCCATCTTGAAATACCATTCACATCACTCTCAAGGGCAGGCTTTTCATTTATGAGATATGCAATTAAATTTTCTGTATTAAAAATAGTTGAGACTTTGGGAACTAATTCCCTGATAAACTATTAACCAGCATCCTCTGTGCTTTTTTTCAGAGAGGTTCAAGCTATGTGAGGGAGGATTCAAATGTACCTGTCATCTTTGCATGCCAGGAAGAGGAAGAAGCATTTTTAAAAGTGACTTGGTCAGGACCTGGTCATTCTTAGTCTGAGTTGAGGCTCAAAAGGGAGGTGAAGTGACTTGTCCTAAAGAGCCACAGATGATTAACCACTGGTGATGAGATTTGACTCTAAGCTCCCTGTGTTATTACTGAACTCTCATTGCTCAGTTCGGGAGGAAATTTTTCTTTTTATTTTTTTCCTTCTATTTATTTTTATTTATTTATTTAGAAATGTTAAGCAAAGGCTTTATATGTTTAGTAATGCTCTATAACAAGATAATCATACAATCAGAAGTGTAACCCAATACCCAACCTAGATATACCAACTATCTTTGACTGGCAGAGACAGTCTCCATGTCCCCCCTCCCATCTCTTAGCTCCTCCTTATCTCCTTACTCCTCCTCTCCTTACTCCTCCCACCATTGCTCCTTCGGGAGGAAATTTTTCAATGAGCAGCATAAGACATAATGTGCTGGACCGAGATCATGGCTTTGTCACTGAGGAGTTGTGTGACCCTGGGTAACTTATTTCCCCTCCCTCTGCTTTGCCATTCTGCCTGTCTGTACAATGGCTGAAGCAGATCAACAAGAAGTCTTTCCACAGCTAGCTAGCTATAACTGACCAAAGAGGAAAGATAAACTCTCAAGTATTACAAGGGAGCTGTGAAGCCAAAGCCCAAGGAGGATCATTTTCAGAAATCCGAGTGCAGGTCATGGCCCAGAAACAGGAGGGATTCAGAGCCATCCCTATGAGTCCCTTTGGCCCAAAAGCAAACTGGGTGCAGAGAAAGAATCTTCTTGTGTGGAACACATCAAATGAGGCCCTGACAGAAACATACACATTCCTTTGACCATCTCCCCTTTCCGGTGCATACTATCTCTATCCCTAAGGTCCTGTCCCTGCCCATGGTCAAGAAACTCTTGGTGCCTAGTTAGAATGATGTCCAGGAAGTATTAGTAGCTAGGGCTGGCACAAGATTTTTTGCCACTTCTAAGCTTCTTCCTATTTACAACACCAATAAAACATCAGTGCCAGGAACCCTCAGAAACCTGCCTGGCCCCTCCAGAACAGCAGACCCAAGAGGAGTCTGCTGAAGGACACTTCAACACTTACTTGAAGGCTTTGACCTAGTTGTGCTTTGCTCCTAAGTGCATGGTCCAGTCCTTGCCTTGCCAAAGCTCAGGGTTGTTACAGGAAATATAAGAGAGTAAAGTTCAGCAAAAGGTTTGCAAACTGTGGACGAATCATTAACACTCTTTGTGGGGAGACCCCGCAAAGTGTTGTAAGTGACATGAGAGAAAACATGATCTCATTCTCATGATCACAGCTCCATGTCAGCTTTGTATCATGACTGAAGCCCTCTTCTCCACTGGCACGTCTCGGGAGGAGAAACCATAGAGATGAGGATTTGATTTTCACTTTGTGACACCTACTAGTTGGGTCACATAGTAAATTTCCACATGCAATCATCTGGGGTCATCATATCACACTCCATTGCTTGACTCCACAAAAGAGTGCAAAATCGTGAGGGGTGCAGAGTATATTAAGCCCTTATAACTTGATAAACTGTTGTTTGCTGTCCTTAGTAGCAATAATCAGGTATGCGTCTTGCTTGAATTGAGTCATTTTATAACGCATTCATGTTTAGTCAAATAAGTCCATCGTTTGTAGTCCTGATGTTCTGGCAGAAACAAGCACACGGCTTATTATTCCTTCTGGAGAACTAGAATGGAAACCAGTAAGCTAACACTGCTAACTAATATTCAGGAACCCCTTCACTGATCTCAATGCCTGTGAGTTCAATATTCAGAGGCAATATTCAGAGGCAGTGGGTTCCAGGCCCAGAACCTAGAAGAGACAGTGAAGAATTAAATCCAGTCATCCAGCAGGATGCTCTAATGTTCTTTCTACCATGGAATGTTGGCAGGGAATATTTGGGTTACAATCAAAAAGCGTAATAGGTCAAGTTGGTACTTTCTTTGAAGGATCCAAGTCAAATGCAAACTTGACCTGTTTGGAGAGCACTTTTAATTTTGTTCTTAAAGCCAATCCTAGCAATTCTGAAAGTATTCAGGAATATGAACTACTTATTTTTTAAAATCTAGGCTGGGCTGGATTATATAACAACATTGTCTCAATCATTCTCCCTTCCCCTACTCCCCCTCACGCACACACACACACACAAACACACACACCAAACAAAAGGAACATGTGGAGATCAGAGGTTGACAAAAGGTATTCATCCTCAACTCTCCATCTTATGTTTGTTCAGACAGGGTCTCTCGCTGCACCTGGAACCCACCCATTCAGATGGATTGTCTATCCAGTAAGCCTCAGAGATCATCAATATCTGTCTTCCCAGCAATGAGATTATAGGTACATGTAGCCATGCCTCATTATGTTTAAATGGCAAACACTTGACTGAACTATCTTTCCAGCATCTTTTCTGTTTGTTTTTTTTTTTTAAAAGACTGGGTTTGTATGATAATCCAGGCTAATTCTTGAACTCCAGACAGTCCCCCTAACTCAACCTCCTAAATTCTGGGATTACAGACAGATATAGGTCATCATGCCTAGTTCCATGACTCATTTTTAAATGAGGTCAAAGGCATCTAGGGGTGTGTTTCTATTTTGAGGAATGGGATCTCGATGCATTGCCCACACTGATCACAAACTGTGAACTAGAGTGCTCCTCCTCACCGGCCCGAGTAGCTTGCACTACATATATGTGCAGCATGCCTAGCTAAAGTTTGTCAGAGACCCCGTTTCTGCTGGGAGCACAGTAGGGAAATTAGGAAACATCAGGAGGGAAACTTCTGTCCAGGAAGTTAATCTAAAATTGGAACGTGTAAGTTTAGACTGCAAAACAAACTATCAGTTATGTCTGAGAAGACAACAGTCCTATTTTCTGTGGACTGCCTCTTTCTTTCCCTCACACCCAAGCACTCTTCTGGCCTCTTACCTGACCCTCTCCTCTTCAGCCTTCTTCAGGGCAGCATCCCTCTGCAGAACCTTTAAGATGGCATCTTGTTCCTCATCTGTCAGGAAACTTAAGTCAATCATTTTGGAGCACAGCATACAAAAAAGGAACAATTGTAACAAATGTAGCTTGGGAGTCTCAGTGAAAAACAGCTGAGACTACAGCCAGGATGATTATAGGATGCAAAATTAAATAGTATCTTATTTGGTGGTAAAAGTCTTGTCTGGGCTCCACAAAAATTTTATGCAGATGACATCAAAATCGTGAGAGCAAGGTCCCTTGAAGTAGCAGTGGTCTGTGGCATGAACAGGTCTCAGGAGGATGCTGCACACCTTGTATGGGCCTTCAGCAGAATTCCTTCAGTGAACCTTCTCTGGACCAGTCTTAGACACAGTATCTCCATGCTCATCACATCCTTGAGCAACAGCCTCCTTGGTGCATCTTTAACCTGGAGGATCATGGGACAATAAACACCAGTCAATGAGAGGAAACTCCTGGAGGCAACTTTCAGTGGTACATTTTTCAGTGACCATAGGTGATGGTGTTTGAACTGAGAAAACCAGTTCTGCCAGCTTCCTGAGCTCAAGTTCAATGTGTCAGAAACATGCTTCTCCCGAATTCTAGACCACAGAGATGGAGCAGACAAAGATGCCTGTTAATGTTTAACAACCCACCTGAGCAATGGAGGTTCTTACTCTGGAAACTCCTGGCTTAAAAAGTGATGCTGAAATTTAGCAGGACCAGGGAGATGCTACTGAGGGTATCAAAGAATTGTGGGAAAGAAATGGGAAATAAAGATTTGAAGTGCTAGCCACTTCGCAGGTGGGAGTGCTCCACTGGTGTGACTCAATGCAGCAGAACTCACCAAGGGCAGAACTAGAATAGGACTATAGTCACTGTTCATTCGGCTGCACCCCTAACCTTCACTGGGCCTGGAGGAACCTGCCAAGCTTGTCTTTCTTCATTTCTGAACACTTACTGATATGTACATATAAACTGGGGGAAAGGAAGAAGGAGAGCTTCAAAACACCCCATCATCCCAAGTCAGTCCTTTTGAGTCACAAGACAGGTAAAATTCCTATTTGCCTAGAGGAATCCTTAAGATGGGTAAAATAAGAGGGTGAAATTTGAAGAATGCCATGAGGCAAGACTTTAGAGACAATTTACTCTTGGGTATTGGTCTTTTGACAAGTCTAGACACTCAAAGCTTAAGTAATTCTTAAAGCAGTCTTATTTAAGAAGAAAAGACAGTGTGTAATGAGTGAGTGAGGTTTATGCATAGATACCTTGCAAAACAGAACTACTACACAGCTACCATAAGTCATTGGCTTGCTAGCTATAAGACACTATCTGAGTTACTCTACCAGAGGTTTTATCTGCTCCTTTATACTCAACATTAGGGTATCTTTTGTAGACTATAATAATCAAGTAAATCAGCAACTATAAAAAGAATACTTCTTGCATCCTGTACTGGGACTAGCCAGTGAAAACAAACTCTTGCTCCCTTTGAGTCTACACTTTTGTTACTAAGTCAGATTGTGCTTGGTCAGAAGCAGGTGGTGGTGGCAGTGGTGGTGGTACACACCTTTAATCCCAGTTCTTAGAAGGTAGAGGTAGAAGTAAAGCCACCCTGGTCTACAGAGTGAGTTCCAAGTCAGCCAGGTTCTCCTCAGAGAAACCCTGTCTCACAGTACAGTACAGTACAGTACAGTACAATACAATACAATATAATACAACAAAAGACTGCTTGATCAAAAGGGACTTGTGCACTTTTTGTTCTTGTTTTGTATTTTTTTCTTACTGATTTTCTTTTATTAGTTTTTTTGATTTTCATTTTTTGTTTTTTGTTATTTTTCTTGTTTCTTTTTTTGTGAAAGACAGAGACAAAGACCATGTACACATATATATATACATACACACATATATACATACATACACAGATATATACACACACACATGTACACACATGTATATACAAACACACACACATACATATATTTGAATACATTATTTCAAATGTCTTCTTTTAAATTTCTCATGCCCTTGCATATGGTATATCCCACCTTTCTGCCTAAGAAACTGTCCCTCCTTCAAAGCAGATCAGAGTTACTCCTCCATGAAGCCTTTACTAATTTTCATAGCTAAAGGTAAGACTTACAATACATTAATTTGTTGTTTCTAATGTTTCATGTCCATCTTGTAACAGACTTGAACATGACCCACCTGAAACAGGGCCACTTTGGCTGACCCACAGTTATAGCAGAAAGAAACAAACGTTTATTGTTAGAAGCCACAAAAGTTTCACATTTGCAGCAGAAACCTAGCTGATATAAAAGCCTCCTCCTCCTTCATCCAAATGTGCATATGTATGTGTAGATATATATTTCATCACTAAATATGGAAATCTATTCCTTTTACCCATATATAATTACAACAGTGAATGTTACATGTTGAGAGAGAGAGAGAGAGAGAGAGAGAGAGAGAGAGATCAACTACTATAATTGTTCTCAGGACCCTATTTTACTGTGTCTCTGAATATGAATAAATATAGTCTTTCACACACAGCAACCTCATCAAATCCCAAAAGTTGGCAAGGAAGTGGACTTAGGTCACATACTGACCATAGTCACAGTGAAGCCTTCCTTGTATTGCCATTTGGTTTAGAAAGAGGTTCCTTCTATGTTCCAGGAGATGGAACAGGATGAGAAAAACAATTTCAATGGTCTCACAGTAGAAATGAGAAGAGCTGCCTCAGATGGAAGTGTTGGTTTCTATACCTCCAAGGAAAAATGCAAGCTAACCAGTGCTTGCCTGTCCTGATGTCTAAGGATTCAAACAAACAAAGGCACCTCTTACAGAAGACTGTTAGCAAGACAGAGGGGAATTTTCTCATTTCCCAATGCAGTGCAGGGCTGGAACCCTCTCCTTTGAGGTGAATATTCAGGAGTGCCTACCCAGTCTGACGGTAAGAGGCTGACAAGAGGGCAGATGAGACTTCTCAGTACCAAGTCCTTTTTTTCTCCCATTATTTCAGACGGCATTTAGCTAGGAGCCAACTGAGAGCCCAACACACTTCTACACACTAGAAAGGCAGCAAAGAGGAAGGGAAGGAAAGCTTCCTGTGTAGACTTTACATGTAGCTGGCAGGAGTCTGTTAAAGTTAAATCATATAAATGATTCTTTAAAATTTCTAAAGTCTAAATAATTAGACTGTAATATTGCAAGGTGACAGATCTGTGAAAGAAAAAGCTGGATCGAAATTTGAATAATCCTGTGAGATAAGAGAAATTAGTTGAGGTAGGCTTCACTGACATGACATTTGAACAGGAACTTGAGAAAGATGAAGAGATACACTATGCAGATATCAAAGCACCCTGAGATGGGAGTGAAAAACCACAAATTGGCTAGGGCTGGTCACCACAGAGTGAACCAGGATAACAGGAAGAGTGGGTCGGAGAGGAAGTGGTCCAGACTGCATGGGTTATTGTAAGGACCATAAGGGTCTTGCTGTCAGTCTAAGATGGAGCATCAGTGAGGAGGGGCAGGTAATGGGAGAAGGGAGTCAGTGTTTCCTGGGTACCTCCACTGAGCCTGCTACTCCTTCTGCTTCCCCACAGAACAATGCTGAGGTAGGTCTTGTGTTCTTACAAACAAAGGGACTGAGCCCAAAGAAAGCTTTTTCCATCCAGTGAGACTGACATTTGCCAATTGTTTTGACAGAATGGATCACTCTGTCACTGGCATCTTCTTCAGTGCCCATTTCCACATGGCTTCCTCAAAATAAGGTGGTAAGATAGAATTGTTTGCTGTCTGTGGACCATCATTCTCTCCTTAAGCACAAAGGAACCACTGGCTGTAGCTGTAAGAGGTGACATCCTGTGAAGTACATAGCACTGTTAGCACACCCTCCCTGTAAGGAGGGAAATAATAATCTCTGTCATGAGGGGACGTGCAAAAGAATATTCCTGTGTTCATAGGGAATCCCTGATTCATAGAAGTATCCCAGTGGTGAGCAGAAACTTCCTCGTGTCTAGCCTCCCACTCATCTTCTGCATGTTGCCAAGTGATTGTTCTACAACTCAGCTCCCACCAAAACATATGCCAAGCTGAAAACACTGTGCCATCTTTCCATGATCCAATAGCTGAAGCTAAAAGTTCTTATGATGGTCTGGGTACTCACACCTATTTCTTCCCCAAGTTTGTTCCCTTCATAAACCCATGCTGAACACTTCTAGTTCCTCTTGTCATTGGGTCTTTGCATAAGCTATTCTTTCCTTCTGGATCCTGACTTAACTGCTACTTACTGTACTAGACACCTTCTCTAACTGCTCTGGGCCAGGCTGGAGTCCCTCTGGTGTGTTCTATTAGAACCTGACTCAAATTATCACAGTAGACATCAATCCATCTCAAACTCAGTTCTACTCATTTGCCACCCACCTATTTCAACGTAAGGCTTGGGTTTCTGTGTTTTGTGCCCACGGCACCTGCCACTCATACAGGAATGAAAGTATCAAGTATCTGTAGAAAATAAAGAATCCTAGGTTGGTGGCAGGTAGGGGACGGAGCTTCTACTTCACATGAACAGAGCTTTAGGTCCCAGAGTGAGAACTCAAGTCCATGTTATCCACTGGGTTCTGCCTCCAGGTTTCCACTGTGGTTTGAATATCACATGCCTTCTCTAAGACTCTTGCTTTATGGAAGAATCTAAGAATCATGTGTAGGATGAGTAAGTGTGTCCCTTTCTTTAGGGAGATATTGAAAAGCTCTGTGTAGGACACTGCAGATGTCACACAATGTGACTGTTGGTTTTGTACACTTGACACAAACTAGAGTTACCTGGGAGGCAGGAACCTCAATGGAGAACTTGCCTCCATTAGATTGGGCGTGTCTACAGGAGCATTTCCTTAATGGATTATTATGTAGGAAGACTGAGCCCACTATGCACCATGTCACATAACCCCCCCCCACACACACACACATACAGGTGGTCCTGGGTTCTATAAGAAACCAGGCCAAGCAATCCAAGGTGGAGCAAGCCAGTGTGCAGCACTCCTTCATGGCCTCTGCAATGGCTCCTGCCTCTAGGTTCCTGTCCTGCTCTAGTTCCTGCTCTGACTTCCCTCAGTGATAAACTGTGATCAGAATGTGTTAACCACACAAATCTTCTCTTCCACAAGTTGCTTTTGTTCTCAGCAGCAGAAACTACACCAGGGCACCTGTGAAGTCCCAAGAACAGCAACCTAGACAGGAAACCGAAGAGCTTTGAATGTGGACTGTTTGGTTGACATTTCCTGCATGTCATCCCTGCCATGGCTCATCTATAAAAGTGAGTGCTCCTCCTGTCAGTTGTCCAGATATTATTCTGAAGAGTGAAACAAGACCGTAAGCAACACCTGCTTTTGCTAATAGCAAAAGGCTGGATTTACAGACTCAACCTCAATCATCTTG